ATGTCCTAAGTAAGCATAAGATATTAAGAACTTCTCTAGCTTTCAATGATGAGGATAGTATTTTAAAACAATCTATCACTGATAAACATCTGACATTTACATTGACTGCCGATCAAACATTCAAAAATGAAACTGATCTTCATAACATTGTTTCACAAATCAATACCGATCCTAATTTGTTCAATTTATCAAGTGGTCGTGTTTTTTATTGTCAAATTCTCAGAAAACATATTATATCTGATGAAAATTATGACAAAGAAATTATTAAAAATTCTGACGTTTTCGTTATCGCTTTTCATCATGTTGCAACTGATCAATCAAGTGACTCAATTTTTTTAAGTGATTTATGTAATACTTACAATAGTCACATGACGTGGTTAGATGACGAAGAATCATTACAATATATTGATTATAGTGTGCATGAGCGTCTGATCGATATGACATCATCACGCGAGTTTTGGTGTTCTCAATTAAATGGATACAATCAAGAATGTCGATTGTTACTACCAGTTGATCGTGATTGCTTATACAGTGATCAACGATCTGGATATGCCTCTATTGCTCGTACTTCATTTGATAGTGAGGTCTCGATATCATTTCTCAATTATGCATCTTCACATCAAGTCACACCATTTCAGCTAGGCCTAGCTGCATTGTATACATTTCTTTTCAAGCTAACTTATAGACAAAATGATTTATATATTTCTTGTCTCAATGCAAATCGATACAGAGCTGAATTACAGAATATGGTTGGAATGTTTGTATCAACATTACCATATCGAATTCAAGTTGATTCTGGCTGGTTATTTGATGAACTTGTTGAACATGTGCGAGAAAAATGTTTATCAATTCTTGAACATTCTCATTATCCACTTCAACATATTCTTCGTGATTTTCATCTTAATCAATCAACTGCTTCTTTTCTTCAAACAGTTTTTGATTTCACTACTGTATCTTCAGTTAGCGATCAATTCACTTTCGATGATGTTAGTTTACAGCCCGTATTATTACAACAGTTTTCGGAAGTGGCTAAATTTGATTTTTCGTTGACATTTGTTTACAATCCAATCTCGGATGATAACATATTGTCATGTGGTTTTATTTGTTCACGTGATCTATTTGAAGATACGACAGTTACAAAAATGATACAAAGATTTCAATATCTTTTTGAACAACTTTTTTTAATGAATTTCAACGTTAATCAGACTGATTTAGTAGCTACACCTATTGCCAAACTTACTCTTATCTTACCAGATGAAATGAATGAAATGCAACACGTAGCTTTTAACCGTCAATCAAATGTGACGAATGAAGGTATGTCTTTTTCCTATTTATCATATATAGAATACTTTTATTGATATAAATCAGTTTGATGAGAGAAACATGTATGTTATGTATAAATATTATATTTTCAACTTTAAAAATATTGATTGACTTGTGTTAGTTCAAGAATTATAACGTTAGTCTGTTTTTCAGTATAGAATAAAAAATATAATATGAAAAGATTTTACTAATCTTCGATGTCAAATCCTTTCGAAGCTTTTCGAAGATAGAATATTATATAGTATAGATATATGAAGTTTAGTAGTAATGATAAGTATAAGAATTGTGATTAAAAAGGTGATAAGTTTCTGGCATGATTATTTTCGAGTAGAATCCTAAGAATAATGTGACAGTTGAGCGAAACATACTTTAATTTATAAAGTTTTAGATAGTTTTTTTTGAAATATTTATTTGGCTCTGAAGATAATAAGTTATATGAATATCGATGACACTTTTTTATCGTATAATAATCTAATTATAGCATCGTTCAGTCTGTTTCCGTAAACACCAATTAAAACAACAACATATTTTAGCAATGACAACTTATCTTTTTTAGTTAAGATTAGACAGTGTTCAAGTGTAAATTGCTTCTTTGCACTATAGTTTGACGGTTTTTAGGCGAATCTGTATTTATAATTTTAAATGAAACTAACCATTTTTTAGTAAATTTTTTTCAAATATATGATGATGACCAATATAGGAATATGATCAATAGGGAACTATTCGATGTATCGATAATTTAAGTGTCATACTTGAGAAAGTAAAAATCAACATCTGTAACACAAGAATAACATTTAATTTATTGTTTTTCTTTCATTTTATTTAGTAATACGAAAATGAATTAAAAGTAGAATTTACTTAAAATTTATTTTGTGTTTACACTGTGGAAAATTCGCTAATTTAAACTGCGGAAAATTTTTCAGACATTTTTTGTTCGAAAAGATGTATACATATATAAACAAAGTATAAACGCCGCAATTAATTATACAGAGCTATTAAAGCATTATAAAAAGTGTATACTAATTTCTATTCCCATCATATTTCAAATACTACTTTTTTTAATATTCAACGTTAATACACAGATTGTTTTTCAAACGATGTACTGTGAAATTCTCTGTAAAATATGTAGTAAATGTTTTAATTTAGAATACAAAAGTGAAATATTGCATAAAAATTCGTGAAAATCTCAATTTCCAAAAACAAATGTTTTCTTTTGTTCTTTGACTTTCTGAGATAAAAAATTAAATTTATCATCTTATGATGCTTGTGAAAAGTCTCGCTTTCAGTCATATTTATGATAATTCTGCAGTCGAACATACATACGTTTCTAGTTAATATTTCTACCATAGACCATCGTAAAAACATGAAAAGTAAAAAACGTTGCATGAATCTTCTCATGTAGCCTTTTACTTTTCTAATTTGTAAACAAAACGCTGATTATATATTGTGTAGAAAACTTCAGGTTTCACCTTTCAAAGAAAGTCCGTGTTAATATTCAATATAAAGAAGTTACATGAGAAATACATGGAATCAAAACCTACAATTTATCATAGATTCATCTGTAAAGTTTTCATGCTTTTGACTAGTAGAGATTATGTACATTTGAAACAGTAATATCAATTGAATCACTTAATTACATAAAGAGAAATTGAATAATGAGCAAGATGAATTCTAAAGATACATTCGTTGATAGGTGAACCTAGTTCGATTTCAATAAGCTTCTTTGTTATAGCACCAGCATCATTTGCACAAGCTCGTATATGGCTTGACGAAAGAATTCGATTCGATCCAGACAAACCACAAATAGCCATCTATAATATGCCTTTTGTTTATCGTCTTCAATCTGATCATACCTTATCTATTAAACAACTTGATCATGCTCTTCATCTCACTGTTAACAAACATCACTCGCTTCATACATCACTTTATTTTGACATCGAAAAGAATCTACTTATGCAACGAGTTATTACTCATGAAGATAAAAATAATAAGAACAATATATTTTCAATCATCGAAACTACTTATGAAACAGATGAACAACTCAATGAGCTTTTACACGATGAGAAACGTAATCCTCATCTTTTTGATCTTGCTCAAGGTCTTGTCTTTCGATGCCATACTATTTATCACAAACAAATCTCTTCAAATCATCTTGCTTCTGACAAAGATCTACTTATCTTCAACTTTCATCATGCTCTATTTGATTTTCCATCAATGAACATCTTTCTTCGTGATCTCAATCAAGCATATACCACGGATCAAATAATAACTGATGATAACACTAATCTACGTTATCTCGATTGTAAATATAAATACTACTTCTACTTTTCTAATATACTATTTTCTTTACTTATGTAGATGCTGTTATTGAACAACAAATGTTAATGACTGGTGCAAGTATGTTTTGGCTGGATGCTCTTCATAACTGTAAACTTGATCAGTCTTTATCATTACCATTTGATCGATATCGTCTCTCAAATGAACATCGAACTGGTCGTGGAACATCTATTTATTTTGACTTTGGTCAAGATCTCTCACATGACTTTCTCACATATGCATCATCAAATAACATATCACTGGAACATCTTGCACTTGCTATTTATTTTATCTTTCTATGCAAACTAACTAATGGACAAACAGATATATGTCTGGCTATGAACATCAATAATAGCCGATATAGAGATGAACTCAAATCGATCATTGGATTATTTGAGAATGTTATTCCGTTACGATGTCAGTTAGATCCACATTGGTGTTTACATCAATTACTCAAACATATTCGAGAGATAACAACAAATAGTATGAAATATTCATATTTTCCACTTCAACGTATTCTTGAGCAACAACCAAATATATCAGGTCCTGTATTTCTTGATACATCATTTGAGTTTCTGTCATCTACGAGAAGAGATGAAGATAATGAAATAATAATTGGTGATAGTCGATTCTCTTTACTACCTTATTCAATTAAGATTAGTGAAGATGAAATAATGAGTAAATTTGATTTCATTGTTAGTTTTCAACATGATCTACATCTAAATGAGTTCTCATGCACAATCGATGCATCACTTGATTTATTTAATGCTGAAACAATTTGTATAACTGCACAGAGATTTCATTCAATGTTATATGAATTGTCTGCATCTGTGATTGATAATGAAATAAACAAGCCAATCTATGAGTTATCGTTAACATTATCAAATGAGCAATATCTAATGCAATCATTGAATAATACACAAATATCATTTTCATCTCGTCGTACTTGTATTCATCATGAGTTTGTATATCAAGTGATGAAGCATCCACAAAAACTAGCAGTTGAACTAGATGAACAATCATTGACATATTGTGAACTTTTGTATTATGTTCAAGTCTTATCTTTCACTCTTCTAAATGAATATCATGTGTTTCCAGGTGAGGTCGTATGTCAATGTGTTGAGCGAAGTTTGTCAATGGTAAGTTGATTTGGAAGACTAGCTACTGATATAAATTTGAGATTGCTTTTGATTAGGTGATTGGTATTATGGCGATTGAAATGGCTGGTGGTGTTTATTGTCCATTATCACCTCGAGATCCACAACATCGTTTGCATGCACTCACACAACAAACTCAAAGTCGTTTTGTTCTTGTTCATGGTTTAACAAAGACCAAATTTGATCATAATATTGTTGCGCTTGATATTGATTCATTATCAAATATTAATAATATAGATGGTGACATGACTTATAATTATCTGTCAAATGTGGAAGTGAAAGGCAAAAAAATAGCTTACATTATTTTCACAAGCGGTTCAACTGGAACACCTAAAGCCGTTCGTTGACACTGACTTTTTCGAATTGTTCATTGATTTTCATGCTCTTTCATAGGTTCAAGTTCGGCATAAGAACTTTATTGATTGTATCAATTCTTTGGCTTATATTAACTCATTTAATAAGGATGATACAGTTATACAAATGACACGGTGTTCATTTGATATTCATGTCCAAGAGATACTTGGTACATTGTTGGTTGGAGGCACGTTGATTATGCTTCATCCAGGTGGAACGATTGATTTCAAGTATTTATTCGAAGTCATACAGAACAAGCAAATCACATATCTACACACTGTTCCAAGTTTATTGCATAGTTTTTTTACTTTTATCGAACAGAATAAGAACATAAATACCATAAATCACCTTCGATCACTTTGCAGCATAGGTAAGTGACCAGAAACGACTCTTGTTCTTTCGTCACACTACGTTTCTTTTGTTTAGGTGAAACATTTATTGTTCATTTGATTGACTTGATTGTGAAAATCGGTATAAGAAACTGTATTGTGTGGAATTTGTACGGTCCAGCTGAAACAACTATAGTTTCTACTTTCCACAAAGTAGATTTAACAGAGGATACACGAAGCGTTTCAATTGGTAAACCACTTTCTAATTACGGATGTATGATTATCAATCAATATTCACAACAATCAATCACGAATCAAGAAGGTGAACTGTTAATAGGAGGTGTTGGTGTGTTTGCTGGTTATCTTGGACGTGATGATTTAACTGTAAAAGCTCTTCTTGAAATAGACGGTCAACTATTTTATCGAACAGGTGATCTTGTTAGAATGGATAACAATGGTCTTCTTTATTATCAAGGAAGAAAAGATCATCAAATCAAACTTCATGGACAACGAATTGAACTTGGTGAAATAGAACGATGTTTACTTAACATTACATCCATCTCTGCTTGTGTTGTCATGAAATGGAATGATGATTATTTAGTTGCATATGTTCAAAGTTCTGATGTTAATGACCAGAAATTCCGAGAACATTGCCAATCTCATCTTCCACCACATATGATTCCATCTTTCTTTATTATTCTTGATAAATTACCATTGAATCAAAATGGTAAAATAGACAGAAAACAACTTCCGTCACCTCACTTCTCATCAGCACATCTCACAAATAGTATAGAACTATTACTACCAACAAATGATATTGAAGTTAGCATTCATCGTATTTGGTGTGAGATATTCAAACTAAATCAAATATCAACTGATACAAATATCTTTACTATTGGTGGTCATTCATTATTTATGATGCAACTTTTTCATCAGTACAAGATTGAGTTTCATTTAGAAACAAATACTCTTTCTATCTCCAATCTATTTCAACATCCAACAATTATTCATCATGCTCAACTCATTCAACAATCTATAAATATCATTCACACTCTTGATAACTATTCTTGGTATTCCTTACATCTCACTCAAGGTAAACAAAACAGCTTGTACTTGAGATTGTCATAAACTAATATGTTTATCTTTTTGTCTCATTTGTAGCGAGAGCATCATTTGCACAAGAACGAATCTATTTAGATGAACAAATTCGTTTTTCATCCAACAAAACAACCATGAATAATATGTATGTTATTCCATTACTTTACCGTATATCATCTATGAATGATCATGTGTCAATTACTCAATTACATCATGCATTTCAAAGTGTTATCATAAAACATAATATTCTTCGAACAGCACTTTATCTTGATACAAATGGTACTATTATACAACACTCTTTAGATGCACATATCATTCTCAATAATGATATGAAATCATGTGGACTGACAATCATTAATGTTCATAATGATGATTATCGTCATATGAATGAAATTATCGGAGAAATATTAAATCAAGCTGATTTATTTGACTTATCAAAAGGACGTGTTATTCGTTGTCATATTCTTCGTCATTATCATCAATCTCAAGATAGTATTTCATGTGAGAATGATGATCTGTTGAGTGAAAATGATCACATATTGATTAGTATTCATCATGCAATGTTTGATGGAGCATCAACATCAATCTTCCTTCGTGATCTTTCTCTTGCTTATCAATCTCATGATTCTCTATCTATAAATGAAAATACATTGAATTATATAGATTATTCTGTTCACGAGCAGACCATGGATATGTCATTATCTCGTCAATTCTGGTATTCTCAACTTGAAGGATATAATATCGAATGTTCATTATCATTACCAGCTGATCGTCAACGTTCATCAACGAATCAACAACGATCAGGTTTAGCATCCA